TTGGCGAAAGGAGAGGAGAAAATGCAGCCGCAGCATTTGCCGTCACACAACAGTCGGCCGTTCACGGAAACAACCGATTATGACCGAGAAATTATATCATGAAAGTTACGGTGCTTATTAAGCATTTTAAAACGTATGTGGTAACTTGCCAAAGTGCTTTGTTTTGAACGTTCATCAGAATATCAAAAAGAGAAATTTGAACGTTAGTTTTTACTGAAATGATCAAATAAAGTCAACATTTCAGTCTTTACTGAGCTGTGTGGGGTTTGTTCAACTTTTAAAAGATGTTTGAAAGGTGATATACACAGTGATAGATGTTAAGGACTAACGTTTATAATAAATACATTTGTATTTATTTTAAGATATTTTCATAGTTCATACAATCATATGTATTGGGATCATTTGTATTAATGTGGACCGGAGGGAGAGGATGACGAGCATAAGTTTCACTTTCCTTTTTTATTTCAATTCCAACTTTGGTCATGAAGAATATGATTCTCTGTTGTCCACGTTCATAAAGCATAAAACAACAGCATCAGAGCACGGTGCAGAGTCTCTAGATGAGTTTACAGTAGTCCGTCGTTCTTATTAAACATCCATGTTGTAGTCCACTGTATAGAATCATAGATCATTTGTATTAATGTGGACCGGAGGGAGAGGGTGACGAGCATAAGTTTCACTTCTCTCAGGCCCAATCCCAAACCACGCCCTACACCCTACCCCTCCGTTTGCGCGTTCGCGCGGAGGGTCCGCCACATTAAGTGCTGTTCCAAACCTTCCAAACCAACGAGTGTGGAGAGGTGTGGAGGGGGAGTGGGCTATCAAGCGAGTCTGCATCGGTGCTGACTTGAGACTGGTCTCTACCTGACCGGAGTCACGCTGTGTGTGTCCGTCAGGAAACACGCTGTTTACAAGTAGTTCCAGCAAACATCCACTGATAAATTGCGATGTTAACAACCTCATGATAACCTCATATTTTTTTAACTTAGGATCATACCTGTGTTTAGTCTAGAAAAAGGTAAATGTGTGCATTTTATTATAAAGTTGGGTATATTTACAGACTGTTGCAAAAACTAAGAAGCTTATAAACATCAGGTTTAAAACTAAAAGAGCTTTACAAAAAAGTAACACAATGAAAGATGTTTGGAGTTTTATTTGAGTTCTTAATTTACATTTTTTGTCTAAGAGATGCTGATTTGAAACCGTTGTTACATACAGTTACGGCATTTCCTGTTTCTGCCGGAGAGAGGGGAGTTTGTCCCAAAGCTTGCCGCTGTATTTACTCCCTCCATCTGACAGGAGGGAGCCTCGTTGAGCTGCGAGTGTGGCTACAGACGGAGTTTACTCCGCCACGGAGGGGTAGGGTCGAGGGAGTGGTTTGGGATTGGGCCTAAAGTACCGCAGTCTCTTCTCCTAAGTCCTTTTGAATTCTCCTATCCACTATCCCTTAACCCCATGACGTTTTACTCAGAGGTCAAGGAATAGACGATAGGGTTAGACGTTAGGAGCTGATTTTTGGATTATCCGACCGCAACCCAGGTCTCAACCATAGCTCTCAACATGCCCAGACATAATGATTTTCACCTGGTTTAATACTTTTCGCCTCATTCTGGTGTTGGTGACGTCTGACGTGTATTGTGCGAGAGCAGAGATGTAGTTCATGGAGCGATTTCACACAAAAATAAGTGTTACTTCACAGTTTTACGAGAAACTTTTTTTTTCTTGACTTGCACAATTATCTTTTAAATTGACAAACATCATATGTGTAATTCGTGGCACAATTCAAACAGGATCGAAAGATAAGTTTTCTCTCCCCATTGACTTCAACACATAATGTTTCCGAAATAAGGTCCCATGGGGCGGAAGTTATCTTTCGATCCCGTTTGAATTGTGCCACGAATTACACATATGATGTTTGTCAATCTTAAAAAATCATTTCCATGTCAAAAAAGTCACAGTTTGTCGGAAAACTTTTGAAATATAAGACTATGAAAAATATGCAACTAGAAAGACTACAAATCCCAGAGTCGCGTAAGTGATGTCATTAACGTTACACAATACACTCGTGTTACTCACCGAAACCTTGTAAAGCCGGTCCCGCATGCTGGCTCTTACGGAACCGACTAACTCCCCTTGTGTGTATGTACAGCTCTCAACATGCCCAGACTTGTAGTGATTTTCACCTCTTTTAAAACGTTTCGCCTCATTCTGAAAGAAAGAGGTGAAATGTGCTAACGTGACGGCCATCTTGGTGTTGGTGACGTGTGCGTACCAGAGATCTGGGTTGCGGTCGGATAATCCAAAAATCAGCTCCTAACGTCTAACCCTATCGTCTATTCCTTGACCTCTGAGTGAAACGTCACAGGGTTAAGGGATAGTGGATAGGAGAATTCAAAAGGACTTAGGAGAAGAGACTGCGGTAGGCTACTTTAGAGAATCCGACTGCACTTTCACTATCCGACGTGTTTAGGAGGATGCGCCAGTGGACGTCATGAATGTGCGTCTGCTGCTGTGGGGAAACTATGGAAACTACAGTTTTCTATACAGTGGACTACAACATGGATGTTTAATAAGAACGACGGACTACTGTAAACTCATCTAGAGACTCTGCACCGTGCTCTGATGCTGTTGTTTTATGCTTTATGAACGTGGACAACAGAGAATCATATTCTTCATGACCAAAGTTGGAATTGAAATAAAAAAGGAAAGTGAAACTTATGCTCGTCATCCTCTCCCTCCGGTCCACATTAATACAAATGATCCCAATACATATGATTGTATGAACTATGAAAAGATCTTAAAATCAATACAAATGTATTTATTATAAACGTTAGTCCTTAACATCTATCACTGTGTATATCACCATTCAAACATCTTTTAAAAGTTGAACAAACCCCACACAGCTCAGTAAACACTGTGAAATGTTGACTTTATTTGATCATTTCAGTAAAAACTAACGTTCATATTTCTCTTTTTGATTATAATACTGCTGAACATTTAAAACAAAGCACTTTGGCAAGTTACCACATACATTTTAAAATGCTTAATAAGCACCGTAACTTTCATGATATAATTTCTCGGTCATAATCGGTTGTTTCCGTGAACGGCCGAATGTTGTGTGACGGCAAATGCTGCGGCTGCAAGGCATTGTGGGGCAGCATTTTCTCCTCTCCTTTCGTAAAGGAAGGTCCAGTGGTTCCTAAGCTAAAGGAGGTTATAAAGGAAGTTTGAAACTTCCTTTCCTATCATCTAGAGAATTCGAACGGCACTTATCATGGCTGCCACTGAGGGACTTCCGGGTCATTTCACTCCGTTAGGAAGGTTCCTAAGCTAAATGGACTATTCGACTTCAGCCGTAGTTCATTGAGCGTTTTACGACACATTTGTATTTTTTTGACTTGCAAAATTATCTTTTAAATTGACAAACATCATATGTGTAATTCGTGGCACAATTCAAACGGGATCGAAAGATAATCTTTCTCTCGCCATTGACTTCAATACATAATTTTTCCGAAATAAGGTCCCATGGAGGTCCACCGGACGGGGAGGGACTTCGCCTCTCTATAGAGAGATGAAGTCCCTCCCCTTCCGGTTGAGTGAATTACACATATGATGTTTGTCAATTTAAAAGATAATTTTACAAGTCAAAGAAATTAAAATGTGTCGTAAAACTGTGAAGTAACACTTTTTTTGTGTGAAACCGCTCAATGAACTACATCTCCCGTCTCGCACCACACACCAAGACGGCCGTCACGTTGGCACATTTCACTTCTTTCTTTCAGAATGAGGTCGAAAAGTATTAAAAGAGGTGAAAATCACTACAAGTCTGGCATGTTGAGAGCTGTACATACACAAAAGGGGAGTTAGTCCATGGAAATTATTATTTAATATTGACAAACATCATATGTGTAATTCGTGGCACAATTCAAACGGGATCGAAAGATAATCTTTCTCTCTCCATTGACTTTTTCCTAAATAAGGTCCCATGAGTCCCACCGGAAGGGGAGGGACCTCGCCTCTCTATAGAGAGGCGAAGTCCCGCCCTTCTACTTCCGCCCCATGGGACCTTATTTCGGAAAAATTATGCATAGTCAATGGGGAGAGAAAGATTATCTTTCGATCCTGTTTGAATTGTGCCACGAATTACACATATGATGTTTGTCAATTTAAAAGATAGTTGTGCAAGTCAAGAAAAAAAAAGTTTCTCGTAAAACTGTGAAGTAACACTTATTTTTGTGTGAAATCGCTCCATGAACTACATCTCTGGTCTCGCACAATACACGTCAGACGTCACCAACACCAGAATGAGGCGAAAAGTATTAAACCAGGTGAAAATCATTATGTCTGGGCATGTTGAGAGCTATGGTTGAGACCTGGGTTGCGGTTGGATAATCCACGAATTACACATATGATGTTTGTCAATCTTAAATAATAATTTCCATGTAAAAAAAGTCACAGTTTGTCGTACAACTGTTGAAATATAAGACTATGAAAAATACGCAACTAGAAAGACTACAAATCCCAGAGTCCCGGTCCTGCATGCTGGCTCTTACAAACCGACTAAACTCCCCTTTTGTGTATGTACAGCTCTCAACATGCCCAGACTTGTAGTGATTTTCACCTCTTTTAATACTTTTCGCCTCATTCTGAAAGAAAGAAGTCAAATGTACCAACGTGACGGCCGTCTTGGTGTGTGGTGCGAGACGGGAGATGTAGGTCATTGAGCGGTTCACACAAAAAAAAGTGTTACTTCACAGTTTTACGACACATTTTAATTTTTTTGACTTGTAAAATTATCTTTTAAATTGACAAACATCATATGTGTAATTCGTGGCACAATTCAAACGGGATCGAAAGATAATCTTTCTCTCTCCATTGACTTCAATGCATAACTTTTCCGAAATAAGGTCCCATGGAGGTCCACCGGAAAGGGAGGGACTTCTATCGCCGGAAGTATTTGTTAACAACATCCGGGTGGTTATTGGAAAAATTGGCGGTTGCGTTTGCTGTTGAGTTTTCGTTTTCCTGACTAAATCTGAGAACTTTTGCCTAACAAATGTGAACTCAAACTATACTTAACTGTACATGCTTTTACAATATGTATATATGTGTATCTGCAGTGTTTGTTAATGTTGTTGCATGTTTATGTGTGACAACTCAAAACAAGTTAGCCGACAGTAAACTTTGCAGCTAGCAGCTAAAGCTAGCTGACTAGCTTTGAACAACAACGTTAGCCGGTCACCAGTTTCTTCCATCTCGGGATAATGGCGAACCCGGCATTGTTGCAGAAGAAGAATGGAAAATACTTGTGGTTTGCTCTTCTCGGGTTAGGACTTCAACCAGACAAACTCAACTTAACCGCTAAACGCATCAACCTGGGACCGTGAGTCTGCTTTTATTGTGAATTATAGCATGTAAATACTGTGCAATGTTATCTTACTTAACAATGGGTTGTCCTGTATAGCGGTGATAACGACATCTCAACGTTGGTAACAAATACTTTAAGTTACATTTTAAATGTTCCTTCTCAGTGCGTCACTTTTGACTGTATCATAACTGGGTTAAATGCAGTGGTCTAACTAAGTAAAGTAAAGTACTGTATTTAAGTACAATTTTTAGGTACTTGTATTTCTACTCCACTACAAATCAAAGGTAAATTGTGTACTTTTACTCCACTACGTGTATTTAATAGCATTAGTTACTTTGCAGATTTGGATTAATGATGTGTAATGTAAACACTTAAATAAGACTTAGTTACACCTGGAGTAAATTCCACAAGCTACCATGCAGTAAACAAAGGATTAGCTGCACCTTTACCAGCTTTGATAACACTCTAATGCATCAATAACTATAATCAAAACATACGATATATATCATTCTGAAATGTGCCAATCTGCATAATGAGTACTTTTACTTTTGGTACTTAAGTATATTTTGATGCGAAGCTTTTTCTACTTTTACTGGAGTAACATTTTGATTGCAGGAATTGTACTTGTAACATAGTATTCCTACACTCTGGTACTTCTACTTTGACTTAAGTACAAGATCCGAGTACTTTTTCCACCTCTGATTAATTGTTATTTTATGGCCAACAGGAATATGTTCGACAAACCAAACAAGGATGCCTTCTACATAGTAACCCATTTCCTTTTGGAGAGACTCAGCCCAACACGATTTAATGAAGCATACAGGTAAAGTTAGTCATCATTACCTATTTTAATTCACATATAATGTCTTGGAATTATTGTTATAACTTTTGATATATTTATTTTTGTTTAGGCACTGCTGGCCTGTGTTGTGCCACAAAGCAGATGCGGAGTTCCGCAAAGTAACCTGCGCTTGGCTGCGAGAAATAATGGTGAGAAATTGTGTTTCTTTTACATTCATATATTCTTCATCTGTCCAGTGTTGACAGATAATGTTAACCTAGTTATGTCATCACAAAGAGGACATTGTGTTCACAACTTCTTACTTCCCCGCTTTCCTTTCATAATTTCTGCTCTTCACCCTAATCTTCTCCTTGCATACTACATTATAGTGTTATAAATGTAACAACAATCAAATGATTTGTTTTACCTGTGTGTAGGAGGAAACTGCAAATGCGGGATCCAAAGTGGTGGCATCCTTGTTCCTCTCACCCGGAGGCCCCAAGTTTGTCAGCTTGATGCGTCATTTGGCCAATCACGTCATGCTGCAGAAAATGAAGACATTCACAGCAGGTAAGTCAAGTTAAAAAAAAATCATATTATGTTCTTTCAATACCACCGGCTGTTTCATTTGTAGTTTGCCGTGCAGTTGGCACGTAAAGACTATCATATAACCTTGGATCTTGTGATTGTCAGATGATAGCTGGGTTCCTGAGGCTGCAGCGCTGCCGGCTTCCTCCCTGGACATGGCCGTGAAGAGGATGGACCTGATTCATGCCAGGTTTCTGAAAGCTGCAGTAGATCAGGATCGTTTCTTTCACGAGTACCAGAGCCGAGCACAGTAAGTCTATGGCAGCTGGAGACAACTACATGTTAATCCATATTTACACCAGCAGCCTTTTACTTCACTACTCCGGTAAACCTAATTGACATTCAACTTTTTTGGCGGAGGTTGTGTCAATGAAAATCCAGTCTGGAATCACCAAAAAGTATATAGTAGTCAATTTAAGATGACAGTCAATTGATACAAGAGGGGAGCTGTTTTCCCTTTTTAAACTAATTTGATAATACTTACCATGTTGAACTTTATTTAATAATGTATCATCTGTTTGGCCTGTTGCGTACACTTTGTATCTTGTGTGTGACTCTTATCTGTTACTATCTTTGCAATAAGATATTACTTTTTTGAATCTTTTGTCACTGCTGTCGTTTCATTGGCTATTTGTTTTAAGCCCCGTCTGTAAATTGTGACCTCATTTGTAAGCCAAGGGTTAACGAGACCAGTTGGCAGCAGCTGGAGGTGTTCGTAGTCAGACGTTTTAATTGGTCAAAGCAGTAAAACACAGGTGAAACAAATGTTGTTAACGACTGCTGTTTCCCTAAATGCCCCAGTGAGCCAACCATAGACACTCCTGCGTGTTTCATGGACACAGCAAATGTCTATGTGCACATGTTGAAGATTTCAGAGGTTTGAAGCTTGCACTGGCTGTGGAGTAATTCATTTTATAGCAAGTTCTGTTGCGAGATGGTCTACTGCTATTGGTATTGATGTCTTGTTTTCAAAGCTTTTTGTGTGTTTTCCCTTGTTTTAAAGGCTCCTGGTGAAGTCTATGAGGGACATCAGAGCAGAGGGTGCCAAGTATGATGAGCTACTCAAGTATGTTTGACTTTTTCCATCAGTACTTCAGCATTCATTGTTTTTGTTTCACTTTGTTTAATCTGTCTTTCTTCTTTCAGGCGCCACAGCAATGATTCTGCACAAGAGGGAGCCTCTCTTTCTGAGAAGGCCAGAAAAGTATGTAACGTTATGTTTGTAGAACTTCCTACAAAACAAGGCTATAACAAGCTCACACGAGCACTTCATTTTCTTTTCTAAAGGTGCGCTCCTTGTGGTCGGACATTGATGGAATGCTGTCGGCCACCAAAGAGGAGCAGAATGTGGTGGAAAGTGTTTTAAAGGGAGATGTAGATCAATACATCCTGGACGGGACGGATCAGGTCCTCAAGATTCCTCGCAGTCTGCTGGAGAGAATTGAACAGCTCTCTCATCAGGTGAGTGAAGATCAGTCTGTTCACTGTGTTACTGAATGAAGGCCTGTTAATTACTATACACAGGCTTTGAGTCACTAGTGATTGGTTTGAATGCACTCTATATTCCCACACCTTGGAATTCACATCACATTTAGCTCACATTTAAGATGAAAATGCTTCTAGATGAGTCTCATACTCGGTGTGTGTTTTACAGTTGAGTTCAGGGAATGTGTACGAGGCGGGTCAGCTGAACATCCTGAGTGTGTTTGAGCTGACGAACCATGCGCTGCAGCTCCTGAGAGAAGAGCGCTGTCTGGTCTCTGAGGCCCCCAAACCTCAGCTCAGTCCTCAGCAGCTGCAGGTGAAATGTCAGCAGATGGCCCGTGCACTGCAGAACCTCCACCTCATCAGGTACACTTTAACCCACACTGAAACACAACTTCTGAGGAGCCAAAATATCACCCATTTTATAGTTGGATTTTTCTTGCTCAAATATATATATATATGCATCTTTAAGCCCTGTGCTACTGGTGGTTTGGAAACTGAAATGGTTATTTGAACATTTGTTATCATGGGGGAAAACATTCTGTAAAGTTTTTGTTGGCTTACTGAAAGTTGAGTACCATTCGTTTAACCTTATTTTGATTCTCTTTTTTTCCCAGACAGAGGTTTTCCAAGGAAGAAATTCCTGAGCTCAGGAGTGCCATTGGAGAGTTGGAGGCTGCATGGGACAGGAAGTGGATGGATACGCTCAAAGACACACCGCTTGTCTCTTTTCTGAATGAAGATCCTGTAAGTGGTCCTGTGGCATTTTGGGCTTTATTGCTAGTCAGTGTATTTTATTTAGAAGAAACAAAAATAATAGGTTTGTCAGTATTGGATAACCCTATCGCAGTACTAACATGTTTTGTAACTTCATAATGGGGTTCACCCTAGTTGCATATTGTAATTTAATATTTGTCCCTTAGGCCCTTGGCTTCCTCTCACCAATGGCTCCACTGTCTTTTGAACCGGCCGCTGACGCTAGCTACAGAAGTAGCATCTTCTCACAGTACCCTGCATCCCTTCTTGGTGAGAAAAATCTAATTATTTTAAGCCATGTTTTAATTTGAGGTCTGTCATGTTTCTAATCAAACTTCTTAACATTCCAGAGAAACCTGCAGAGAGTAAACCACAGGAAGTCCTCCTCCCTAGTTATTCTAAACCGATGAGGTAATGTTGCCTTTTTTTATTAGAATAATGAAGCATGAGTGTGATGGGAGGCAGATACCTGGGCAGTGCTGAGCCGTGCTCTGTCCGACACTAGTCCTCCCGACAGCATCCATGCTCTCTGATGACCGAGGCGAACTGAGAGAAATCGCCACGGACAGATACGGAGCAGACACTCTTTATGTCTATGATTATAGATACATGTTGATCATATTCCAAATGATGCTTCAAAACGATTTGATACAGCCCTAATATGCTACTAATATAAGAACCTAACCTCCGGACCGGCACTTATCCATTCAGACACACTTAATAAGATGGTTGCTTTTGGATTAGAACAGGGAACACACTGTTTTCTAACTGCTTTAAAGCATTGTGGAGAACATGTGCATTTATCTCTGTTCAACTTCAGCTCTTTGTCTTTAAAACAGCCCTCAACCGTTACCAGCTGAGAAGTTTGACAGTCCTGTCGTCACCGCTGCAGCACCGTCACAAGCAAACGCTTCTCTGGACTCGCTCTTTGACACCCCCCCGTCCCCCCTCCGGAAGGCTCCAGCAGTACCACCCCCTCAGGCTGTTATTGTATGTCAGGAATCCTGTTTATTGTCGCTCCACCTTTTTTTAAATGGTGTTTTATACCTACTTCTGTAACACTATATTTAACAAAGCTGTGCTCTGGGTTTTTTAGGCCAGTGTGAGGAAGATTGCTCATGTTCCTCAGAATGCAGCACCCATCAGGACCAAGACTCAGATTTTAGACATGGAGTGTGATAACCTCGCTGACCAGGTATATTTATGGTTTTCAAAAAAAGCTACGTTTGTAAGTCTGCCATGTGGAGGGATGGCGATAACCAGATGAGAAACACAAGGGTAGGATTTTTAAATAAACAGTTCCGACGTGTCATTGTTTTAGTTTGCCGATGCTGTTGCTACAACCAGTCCCACAGCAGGCAGGGTCAAAGGTCTGGATTTGGACGGCCTTCTTGGCACTCTTCATGGAGATCCCTTCTCCACCAAACAGCAGCTGCCACGCACACCTGAGAGGCTGAGTAAGTCAAGACCTGTTGCAATTCACCTCAGCCTTAAAGTGGGAATTCTGTGCCAAACAGAAGCTGCTTTTAAAGACAATATGAGCTTCATCTGGACAGTTCTAATTTTAATAATGAAGCATGAGTGTGAAGGGAGGCAGATACCTGGGCAGTGCTGAACCGTGCTCTGTCCGACACTAGTCCTCCCGACAGCATCCATGCTCTCTGATGACCGAGGCGAACTGAGAGAAATCGCCACGGACAGATACGGAGCAGACACTCTTAATCTCTGTACAACTTTTAGTATGGAAATATTGATTTAACATCCTTAAACGACAAAGGCTCTATGTAAGCTTTACTTATCAAGTTTCCTGTTATTTTTGAGATGCAAAGTCATTTTGAGAGGTTTTTATTACAATGACTTGCAATATCTTTTTATTATTGTTTTTGTTTACTCGTGTAATTGGGCTTCCATATAAAGGTAATTGGTTTATTTAGAATGGCATGAGGTTTATGGTTTTCTGAATCTTTCCTTTCCCTTGATAAATCTTTCTCATTGTATTCTTTTGTTTTGAAGTTCTGGATGTGAAGAACTCCTGGCGTAAGGCAGTTGCGGAGGACAAAGCTGAGAAGATGAAGCGGATAACAAAGTTTAACGACAGCGTTAAAAGTTTGCACACACCCCTCCACGAGAACATTGAAGTGCAGAGCCAGAAGGGAGTCTCGCTCAAATCTTCCCTGCTGTGGGACACCTTCGACACCGAGGCCCTGGACAGCCTGAGCGGCACGGGCAGCAGCGCCGTCCAGTTCAGCCTCAATCAGGAGACGCTCCCAGAAATGCCGAGCTACGATAGCCTGCTGAGCCTCGACGATGAAGCGGTGGATATGAACTCCTGGCGTAAGGCAGTTGAGGAGGACAAAGCTGAGAAGATGGAGCGGATAACAAAGTTTAACGGCGGCGTTAAAAGTTTGCTCACACCCCTCCAGGAGAACATTGAAGTGCAGAACCAGAAGGGAGTCTCGCTCAAATCTTCCCTGCTGTGGGACACCTTCGACACCGAGGCCCTGGACAGCCTGAGCGGCACGGGCAGCAGCGCCGTCCAGTTCAGCCTCGATCAAGAAACGCTCCCAGAAATGCCGAGCTACGATAGCCTGCTGAGCCTCGACGATGAAGCGGTGGATATGACGAGTGAGGATGATGATGAGGAGCTGCTGATTCCCTCCCTGAAGACGGAGGAGAAGCAAACCCCACTCACCACACATCCTCTGGGCCGGATCCAGCAGGCGTGCAGCGATGGCTCCTATATAAGCAGGCAGAGGACAGCAGAGTGTCTTCTGACGGATCACACAGCTTCCGGTTTGGACAGAGACTGGCTGATGGAGCCTATGAGTTCAGTGGAGGCCACAGCAAAGGTCTTCTCACTGGATTTAGACACTCTGAAGACTCCTTCCCCATTAAAGAAGCAGGAGTATAGCCTCCCAAAACTGATCACTTTCTCCCCGATGGATGACATGAAGTGAATTGTAAAGTGTGCTATAAATAGCTGTAAAGTAACCTACTTAGTTGCCATTTAAATTACTTTTCTCTGTTTTTAAGGTAAGACATTAACTGCTTTAATAAAATTGTAAATATCCATGGTTATTTTTAGTATTGTTTGTCTGCAGGGAAACATTAACATCTTGTAATTTCCAAGATATGTTTGTCCATTAAACTATTGATAAAGATATTGTTTGAGTCCTTTGTGTTCATGAACAGTTAGTGTGCCCCTCACCTTTAACCTTGGTACACAATGTGTGCTCAAATATTGAAGGGAATCAGTAAGTCAAGTTGATCAAAGGTGTAGAATTTGTAATGTTGGTTTAAGCAGTTGGAAATGAATCTATAACTAAATATTGATTTTTGTGGCTGACTGTTTGAACATATCTGAATTTGATAAGGTTTAATCGTTTTTACATTTGTCTTGCATTGAATATAAGATGCCAGCCATTGTTTTCATCAGAACGTCCATTTGCATTTTATGCACAAGAGGGAGCCTCTCTTTCTGAGAAGGCCAGAAAAGTATGTTATGTTTGTAGAACTTCCTACAAAACAAGGCTATAACAAGCTCACACGAGCACTTCATTTTCTTTTCTAAAGGTGCGCTCCTTGTGGTCGGACATTGATGGAATGCTGTCGGCCACCAAAGAGGAGCAGAATGTGGTGGAAAGTGTTTTAAAGGGAGATGTAGATCAATACATCCTGGACGGGACGGATCAGGTCCTCAAGATTCCTCGCAGTCTGCTGGAGAGAATTGAACAGCTCCCTCATCAGGTGAGTGAAGATCAGTCTGTTCACTGTGTTACTGAATGAAGGCCTGTTAATTACTATACACAGGCTTTGAGTCACTAGTGATTGGTTTGAATGCACTCTATATTCCCACACCTTGGAATTCACATCACATTTAGCTTACATTTAAGATGAAAATGCTTCTAGATGAGTCTCATACTCGGTGTGTGTTTTACAGTTGAGTTCAGGGAATGTGTACGAGGCGGGTCAGCTGAACATCCTGAGTGTGTTTGAGCTGACGAACCACGCGCTGCAGCTCCTGAGAGAAGAGCGCTGTCTGGTCTCTGAGGCCCCCAAACCTCAGCTCAGTCCTCAGCAGCTGCAGGTGAAATGTCAGCAGATGGCCCGTGCACTGCAGAACCTCCACCTCATCAGGTACACTTTAACCCACACTGAAACACAACTTCTGAGGAGCCAAAATATCCCCCATTTTATAGTTGGATTTTTCTTGCTCAAATATATATATATATGCATCTTTAAGCCCTGTGCTACTGGTGGTTTGGAAACTGAAATGGTTATTTGAACATTTGTTATCATGGGGGAAAGCATTCTGTAAAGTTTTTGTTGGCTTACTGAAAGTTGAGTACCATTCGTTTAACCTTATTTTGATTCTTTTTTTTCCCAGACAGAGGTTTTCCAAGGAAGAAATTCCTGAGGTCAGGAGCGCCATTGGAGAGTTGGAGGCTGCATGGGACAGGAAGTGGATGGATACGCTCAAAGACACACCGCTTGTCTCTTTTCTGAATGAAGATCCTGTAAGTGGTCCTGTGGCATTTTGGGCTTTATTGCTAGTCAGTGTATTTTATTTAGAAGAAACAAAAATAATAGGTTTGTCAGTATTGGATAACCCTATCGCAGTACTAACATGTTTTGTAACTTCATAATGGGGTTCACCCTAGTTGCATATTGTAATTTAATATTTGTCCCTTAGGCCCTTGGCTTCCTCTCACCAATGGCTCCACTGTCTTTTGAACCGGCCGCTGACGCTAGCTACAGAAGTAGCATCTTCTCACAGTACCCTGCATCCCTTCTTGGTGAGAAAAATCTAATTATTTTAAGCCATGTTTTAATTTGAGGTCTGTCATGTTTCTAATCAAACTTCTTAACATTCCAGAGAAACCTGCAGAGAGTAAACCACAGGAAGTCCTCCTCCCTAGTTATTCTAAACCGATGAGGTAATGTTGCCTTTTTGTATTAGAATAATGAAGCATGAGTGTGATGGGAGGCAGATACCTGGGCAGTGCTGAGCCGTGCTCTGTCCGACACTAGTCCTCCCGACAGCATCCATGCTCTCTGATGACCGAGGCGAACTGAGAGAAATCGCCACGGACAGATACGGAGCAGACACTCTTAATCTCTGTACAACTTTTAGTATGGAAATATTGATTTAACATCCTTAAACGACAAAGGCTCTATGTAAGCTTTACTTATCAAGTTTCCTGTTATTTTTGAGATGCAAAGTCATTTGAGAGGTTTTTATTACAATGACTTGCAATATCTTTTTATTATTGTTTTTGTTTACTCGTGTAATTGGGCTTCCATATAAAGGTAATTGGTTTATTTAGAATGGCATGAGGTTTATGGTTTTCTGAATCTTTCCTTTCCCTTGATAAATCTTTCTAATTGTATTCTTTTGTTTTGAAGTTCTGGATGTGAAGAACTCCTGGCGTAAGGCAGTTGCGGAGGACAAAGCTGAGAAGATGGAGCGGATAACAAAGTTTAACGACAGCGTTAAAAGTTTGCACACACCCCTCCACGAGAACATTGAAGTGCAGAGCCAGAAGGGAATCTCGCTCAAATCTTCCCTGCTGTGGGACACCTTCGACACCGAGGCCCTGGACAGCCTGAGCGGCACGGGCAGCAGCGCCGTCCAGTTCAGCCTCGATCAGGAGACGCTCCCAGAAATGCCGAGCTACGATAGCCTGCTGAGCCTCGACGATGAAGCGGTGGATATGAACTCCTGGCGTAAGGCAGTTGAGGAGGACAAAGCTGAGAAGATGGAGCAGATAACAAAGTTTAACGACGGCGTTAAAAGTTTGCTCACACCCCTCCAGGAGAACATTGAAGTGCAGAGCCAGAAGGGAGTCTCGCTCAAATCTTCCCTGCTGTGGGACACCTTCGACACCGAGGCCCTGGACAGCCTGAGCGGCACGGGCAGCAGCGCCGTCCAGTTCAGCCTAGATCAAGAAACGCTCCCAGAAATGCCGAGCTACGATAGCCTGCTGAGCCTCGACGATGCGATGAAGCGGTGGATATGACGAGTGAGGATGATGATGATGAGGAGCTGCTGATTCCCTCCCTGAAGACGGAGGAGAAGCAAACCCCACTCACCACACATCCTCTGGGCCGGATCCAGCAGGCGTGCAGCGATGGCTCCTATATAAGCAGGCAGAGGACAGCAGAGTGTCTTCTGACGGATCACACAGCTTCTGGTTTGGACAGAGACTGGCTGATGGAGCCTGTGAGTTCAGTGGAGGCCACAGCAAAGGTCTTCTCACTGGATTTAGACACTCTGAAGACTCCTTCCCCATTAAAGAAGCAGGAGTATAGCCTCCCAAAACTGATCACTTTCTCCCCGATGGATGACATGAAGTGAATTGTAAAGTGTGCTATAAATAGCTGTAAAGTAACCTACTTGGTTGCCATTTAAATTACTTTTCTGTGTTTTTAAGGTAAGACATTAACTGCTTTAATAAAATTGTAAAATATGTCTCTTGTGTGTAAATATCCATGGTTATTTTTAGTATTGTTTGTCTGCAGGGAAACATTAACATCTTGTAATTTCCAAGATATGTTTGTCCATTAAACTATTGATAAAGATATTGTTTGAGTCCTTTGTGTTCATGAAAAGTTAGTGTGCCCCTCACCTTTAACATTTGCGTTGCACTTTTAACATGGTACACAATGTGTGCTCAAATATTGAAGGGAATCAGTAAGTCAAGTTGATCAAAGGTGTAGAATTTGTAATGTTGGTTTAAGCAGTTGGAAATGAATCTATAACTAAATATTGATTTTTGTGGCTGACCGTTTGAACATATCTGAATTTGATAAGGTTTAATCGTTTTTACATTTGTCTTGCATTGAATATAAGATGCCAGCCATTGTTTTCATCAGAACGCTCATTTGCATTTTATGTATTCATTAGTTGTGTGTAACTCACATCAAACCTAAAATAACAGTCAGACTGGGGCAACACAAATATGAAGTTTTTCTGACGCACCTGTTGCTTTTTTTTTTTTTAATCTTGGTGTAACTTCGCTTAGTTTAAGATAGGGGGCGTCAAAAGCTGAGAAACCAGAGCAAAAGCAATAACTGATCAAGGCAAAAATATAATACCGGGTGTAAAACCATTTCACATTCACAATAAAACTCAAAATGTACCACTGGTCAAAATGATTTGTCTCTATTTTAGATATGATGTACCATTAAAAAGACATTCATAATTAATGCATATCCTTATTAAAAAATAAAATGAAATATTTAAAATAATTTGGATAACGGACATCTTCAGGAAAACGTAAGTCAATTGTGGCGACTGACATGCATTTTATGTTTGTTACAAATGTAATACTCTATCGCACTTCAATAAAAAACACTTAAGTGTTTGAATTTATGAATAATATAAACCACTTTTGGTTGAGTCTTGCAGCAAGCACATTTACTTTATCTGAATACATCTACGTGAACTATTTTGCATTGCAGTAGGTGACGTTAAGGAGTTTTACTTTGAAAGGCACACCGGAAGCTGCGTGTTCAATGCGTGCAGCTTGCAGCCGCTCGCCTCTGCTCGGGGCGGGTCCTGCTGAAAGAGACGTTTAGGAAGAAAGCTCCCACCAACAACACTCTCAGACACACAAACATGGCGCCTGCCTCCGCCGACAACTTCAGATGAAAGTGTGGCGAACAAGTGCCCAGCAAAGTTTCTAAGGAGTATTTGGAAGTACCCTTTTTCCGGCTATTTTTAACCTCTTTCGGTTTGCACAAATAGGAAATACGGAATATATCGAGCGGTTAAAAACAGCAAGTTGCCTACATGTCAACATTGTCTCTCGCTGCAGTGTAAACAGCTGGTAAGTGCTCTTTTTTTTAAACATGGAAATAGCTGAGACTTAGCAGAGTTTGTTTTAGGAATAACCAATAGCAGTTTAACTATTTCATGTGTGAAAACATGAGGTTACTTGCTGAAAAAACATGTTCCTGGTCTTTCTCTACTACTCTTTAATCGCGGAAACTAGAGATAGCCACGTATCACTGCGCAGGTTAATCACAGAAGCACATTTATTTTGTTTAATCCGCGGTGATTTGTATTTCCTGCATGAAAGTTGACCTAATTATTGGTCGGATGCAACAGTTGGGACTTGGGGAGAATAACCCCCGGGCCCTCCCCTCTTTTTGTACTCGCCTCCTCCTCCCGGCCGGGCCCTCCTTGACATGACGCCAGATCTCCTGGAGCCTGCCTAACCTGCAGGTGTCACACAATATCCTGCCTTAACATCCAATAGATAATAAGAAAACAAAAGAGGTTCAGCAGGGGGGGGGGGAGATAAGGACTACTTTGTGCCATGTCTGCATTTTGTTTGACCCTAACCCGAGCACGCAGAGTTGTGTAAGGTGCCCCTGTGTGTCAGGTGAGCACAAATGCCATTGAATGCATTACCCAAAGTGCTCACATATCTGCGCCTCAGCACTTGACAGGGTGCCAGCCAGCAGCAGTGTGACCCTAAAGGCAGCAGAGTACTCCCAGCTCCAGTGATTCATGGCATGCATGTGATGTTCCTGTTATGACAGCCATGCATGGCACAAGTCCCAGCAGAGCAGAGAATGGCAACTTCCTATTGTATTTAACTTATTTTAATGTATGTGTTGCAACCTGATATGGCAGCAGGAATGTCAGATAATAGCATAATCATGGCATGAGTTGGAGGAAATTGCTCTTGCAGAATTGACACGTGGAAACTGAAAGATCTCTTCCTTGACCTTGGCTTGGCCTGCCAGCGGCTGGAAAAGGGGAGTGGAGTGAGAGCTGCTCCCTGCAGCAGCAGGTAGAAAGTAGGTCATGGCTTTGTGTACATTGAACTTGCACTTTGTCACCACTGCCGGCCGTCTAAAGGCTCTGTCAGGTGACCAAGGAGAGGAAGTTGGCCGAGCGAGCAGCAGCAGGCTGGTTGCCTTGGCAAAAGTCAAATTTGGATTTGGACGACTGTAAGAAAACGAATCACAATTGTGACTGTTTTCTGAGTTGCGTTGATATATTAGTGCAGATCTTTTCTCTGACTCTTCCAGTGGCAATACAGCTGTTAACAATTCAGCCAACACTTTCAGTTTTCAACTGGCACTTATTTCTCTCAGGAATTGCACTACGACTGCCACGGCAAAGGTCATTTTATTATTTTATTGCATACAATTCCTTTCACTGACATTTTAACTTATTTAATGCTGTTTTCAGCCTCTCAAATATGCTTATTTACTGCTTTCTCATATCAAAGTGATGATTTAGGTTTTTGCCTGACAAAACATGACACTTAAAGAAATATTTCACTATTTTATAGACTAAACCTAGGATATAATGGGCAGAATATAATCTAAATAATATTTAGTTGCAGTCCTGTTTTTAGGTTTTGAACAAAAAAACACTCTTCCAACTTCCCCATAGCTGGCATGGAATAATTTTCACTTTGGTGAGATTCTTTCCCACCATTACCATGCTATAACAAATGGTTTTAATTGCCTTTTCTTTCTATTTAATTAGCCAGAAAAACAACATTATTTGTACCACACAGACTACTGACTACAGCCTGTCTTTAGGCTTGCTGAACTTACCTGAAACACTTGAGTGCATTTTGTTAAGCTGCCTGTTTGCATCTCTTAATACATATTAACTTCACACAGTGGTTTCAATCCAAAGAGCAGGAACAAAGATCTTGTCGGTCAGCCAGAAATCAGGTAACTACATCCTCTATCCGACCCTTGCACTCTGGTGATGTGCCAGTTAGTCGTCTTCTTTCAATAGGCCCCGATCTGAGCTGTGGTCATTTTTTCATTTAGGCTTTATTTAACAGGCTCATTGAGCTATTTCAAGATGGAAACCTGGCAAACAAGAGAGAGTCTCAACAATAACATGTGGAATTGAAAACACAGACAACCTGGGAGAAATAGCAAATTGGAAAATGTCCGTAGAGTAAAGATTGTGATTTGACATTTGTACTTCAAAGGATTTTTAGGCCCAGCTAGTTATAAGGGCTGGCAGTTGGCCCTCTCTCCCTCCTCAGAGTGGAAGGAATGCTCTCTGTCCGCCGGGTGTCACGCTCCAGGAGGGAGGCAGTCTTGTGACGTTTCGCTGAGCCTCACTGTTTTCTATCGTCTGACCTGCACCAACGGTTTTTACTCGTAAAAGTCAAATTTTATAGACCAAAAATGCCACTGTACTTATTTGCTGCCGTTGTTCTTGACACAGTCTAGTGCTGTGTGTCACTTTCTCCTGAGAGCACACCTTCTCAACCACACACTCTACTCAGTGTGCCAGGAGGAAATAGGTGACATTTTCAGCTTCAGTTATTAGCCACCAGCTGCTTTGATGTTATCTTGATAAAACTTTAAACGCTGTTGGATTGACAAAGATATGCAGAGATAAAAAACTAAAAGGGGAACAGACAGTTAGCTTGAGCCTTTGTGTTAGTCCTGAAGATAAATGGGACAAAATTACCATTTTATGCACAATTATCCCAGCAATAGTACTTATCCCAGAATCTCAGTATTCATTGAATATGCTTTAAACTGCTTAGAAATTTCACTAAAACATACTTTACTTAACATATTGTTGGTTAACATATTTTCATGGCATGTATAAAAAAACAACAAACATTATTTCTTATCTGTTTGATTTGGCAGTCAGGTACCTGTTCTGAGAAGTGTGTTCTCTGCTATCGTCGGTTTCCCAAATCAAATTGGATTTTATGCATTGCCTGTGTTTGAAGTAATGAGGGCAGCCGCCAGGGTTAAACAAACGTTAGCGAGGATCAGAGTTCACCGTGTGTCTGTGTGCCGGCCGCGCACAGAGAGCTTGTTAGCATATGGATATGATAATGCCATTATCACACAGGCTTATCTGGAGCCAATAAGCAGATAGACTGTGAATGCTCCACCTCTCACACACTCTGAACAGCAAATATTGAACAGTTAAATATATTCCTCGCCTCAAATCAGACGCACTGGTGCTTGTTTTTGTCAACATTTGGACCTATTTTCTGTGTCGTAAACTGAGCGAGGCTGTTAGTCTCATCACAACACACTGTAAAGATTAATTAGCAGCGTGAGGTATTCACTGACCGCAGTTTAATAGCCAGCCAAGCGCATGCATACTGTAGCTCGCCCCATATGAGTTCAATCAGACTCAACTGGCTTCAATTTGAGCTCATCTCCCATCAAACTGCACCTCAGGAAAATCACAGAGCGTTCGTTTTTTCTGCGGTCATGGCCGCCTTGTAAATGGAGGTTTCGTCAGCTCATTGGCACCTTGTTCTCGGTCTGGCCTTCACCACCTACAGCACTCTGTGATGACAGGTGGCAGCGAGGCCCACTTTGCTCTTCAGATCCTCCAGAGCGTACAGAGTACCACTTAGAGCAGACAGACGCTGCAGAAGCTCACTCACTGCTGCTCGGCGGCTGCCAGCGGAGCTACAAAGGCCTGATACTCATCAAGATATGCAAAGAAACTTTAAAACGTCACAACATTTTACTGGAATCACTTTACCTTACATTTTGTAAACCATGGGCTCAGGTCAGTTTTGAGATTTTTGGCTATTTTGCATTACAGATGGTAAAT